ATGATGGAAGATGAAGGAACTGACTAGGAATGGCTAAGTCCTCTAAGGGCTCCAATGCATTATGGGTCTTATACCTTCCTGAGAGGTACCCTGTATGGAGCATAATAGGCAGTGCCAGACTTATAATGCCTTGCAATTCCCATTGAACTTCTCTCTGCCCAGCCACTTCCTCCATCTTCATCATGTCAAAGAGAAACCACTACTTCTCAGCTGAAAGTAATTACAGACACTTGAAAGGACTAGGTGTTTTGTTTTGTTTTTGCCAAAGCCCCCAGAAATCTGACTGGGGGAATCACTGAAGACTTCTGGGGGCCGTGGTCCATGAATTCCAAGAATCTAATGCCTTCAGTGGGAAGCCCCAGGTTTTGAGACCTGTTCTTTTCAACTTTTCAGCAGATATGGAACTGGGGAGAGCAACATGGTTTCCTACTTTGCTGATGATGACAACCTTGCATGGATAAAACAGAATACAGTACTGACCAACTCACTCCTCCACAATGAGCAATGAAATGGTAAATGTGTTTTGATGCCAGAAGGTATAAAGGATACACAATGGGTCAGAAAAAATCTTACTCAAAAACTAAGGCAAAACATGACGATGACTGCTTAAAGTACTAGAATTCTGTTGAGTACTAGAATTCTAGTATTTCAATTTGCCTTCATACAATGACAGAAAATGTTAATCTTAGGTTATTTTTCCATCTCCAACATATTTACAGTCATATAAAAGTTATAAACCCTGAAATCCCACTGACCCAACTAGAAGATTTTTATAAACTGATATCAGGAGCATCTCTGAATTCAGCAAATCCATCCAATCCAAAGAAAAAGGATTTGAGACTGTATTATAGTCCATACTACAAAAAAGAGAACATTTTAAATTACTGGAAAACCATCTGCCAAATCAAGACTCCAAGCATATACACTAAACACAAACTCATTTGTGCATTTCAAAATAGTTTGACCAGCTCTAGAATTACAATACTTGGCAGGTTTAGAGTATCTGTTTCGTCTGCATTTTTCCCTTAATACTTGCACAAGCTCTGACCCCCTTCTAAACTGAACTACACAACAGTCTGCTCTCAGTTTGGCGAGGAGTCAACTGCTGTGGCCTATCAATTTTCATATATCCTTTGGAAAGGATTTGTGGGGGAAAGGAAAGAAGAGAATAGTAGGTGCAAACTGTGATCAAGCTGTGTGTGCCTTAGCATTTCACAATTCACAATACGTCTTTGAGATGATGGAGTCTAAAGCCTAGGCCAGTGTTTCCAAGACTCTTGATATCTACTTGACAGGAGACAGGTTAACTAAAAATAGGAGGCATATTTTACCCTCCCAAAGAAACACCTGTTTTCTTCATTACCTTGCAGAATAACACACAAGCTTTTCCCTTGCAACATCATGGTGCACAGTTAACACTGCCACTGAACCTTCCCTGTGCTTTCTGAGAAGTGACTTATGCAAAATGAGAAGATTAAAAACAAAAAACACTTGGCAAAAGGATGTGTCATGGAATGTCACTTGTCAGTAAAGAAAAGCAGCTACATTTAGCTTCTTTAATAAACTCAGATCTGCTGATGCATAATTTGTGATGTGATTATCTGTCAAGAGCTGTATAATGTAGGAATACAAATGTTTAGGGAAACAAAAATTTTGAGTTTAAACACTTTTCTGAGAAGAGCAGCAGTAAAACTTTCAGCTATCTGAGTTCCAAATCATATGCTAAAAAATAAAAGTAGCAAAACGTGGCAGGCAATGGCCAACGCTTTTCTGAAAGGCAACACATTTTCTCCAAAGTTCACCACTAGTAGGTGTTAGTGTGTAGTTTCTGCCTTTGTTGCATGAGAAAATAATATAGAACAGGAGAATTGACAGATAAAAGGAAAAAACCAAAACATATATTTCACACAGGGAAGCCAGCTGCAACTGTGCCCCCTATTCTTAATATCCAAAGATTCACAATACATGTAACTGGTACATCAGGGCTGGACCTTTTAAATGTGGCTCAAGGCTTAATACTGACAGTATATGTGACCAGCACACACAAAAAGAGGAATGACCACCCACTCAACCATATATTCAGTTTACAGCAGGGAATAAATAAATATATAAAGCCAATTTAACAAAGCAGATCATACATTTTTAACCTCCCGGCAGGGCAGGGGAAAAAATGAGAAATCTTCCCCACTGCTAAGCACAATAGCAGCCATCCAGTTCAATAGACATTTATCAGTGGTGAAACCTGATCGAGATAAATGAGGAAGCTGTTGAGCCACAGCCGCCTTCTGCCTGCTGCAGGCTGCCAGATAAAATGGGAACAAAAGCTTCCTGCTGAACCCCCCCACCAATCTCCATTAGCCCCTGCTGCTGCTTTATTATCTGGAGGCTATCCAACAGTGCAGCATGAATCAAGAAGCTTGAAGAATTTTTTTTAAAAAACCCACATATATAGTAGTAAAAAAACCCCCCAAAGATACAAAATCTGTGTTTGCAAAAGCCATCTACCTTTTTTTCCTAGCGATGCAGTAAGCTTATTATCTGAGTAATACTGGGAAAGAAAAAGGTGATTTTTCAATGTAGCTCTGGGACCTTTTTATGATTTCCTATTATCTTGTATAGTCCACAACATTCCACAATGTCTTTCACATATTATACACAACTGTATAAAATGTTACTGTCTCCAGGCATACAAATAAATATACAAGCTCAGAATTAATGGATATAAATTACTAATTTTATGCATTCATAGCACTAAAAGGCACAGAGAAAAATGATGGCCAGAATCATCCTAGCAATCCATACTTGCATAGGGGAAATTGCATAAGTCTTAGGAACAAACTGTTGCTTATTTAAAAGGTGTCAATTTGAACAGTATCTGCCTCATTCTGTGACCCAGCATATACTCAACAACACCATCACCACTTCAATAATGCCCAGCAATTTGTGACGTATTTCTTTTATGCAAACACAAATTGATTCTGGCCAGTGATTAAAAACTTTGACTTCAGGTAAAAAGTTATTTGTTGGGATACTCCTTTTGTACGATAATAACTTTGTTTGATTTCCCTGTCTTTTATTTATTCTTCTAAACCACACTTAGTCTTTATTCCAGGAATCGGAATCACAGTTTAGCACAGGAAGTAGGAGGTTATGTACAGTGGCAGACCTGCATTATTCTTATGTCACTAAAAGCTGCTGCAAAACAGAGGAAGACATTACTTCTACATTGCATCAACTGTACCAATATTATTGCGCTATCCTGATGAAGCAAATTCTAAAGACCAGCACCTTTTCATTCTCTAATCTTGCTCCTCAAAAACTTTTAACAGACCAGCTCTTTGAATTAAACAACAAAAACCCCTGTATTCTGCAAACCCATTACAGTATACCTCTTTATACCAGTGGCTGCTGATTTCACACTGATGTAACTGTACAACACATCTTCTAATGAGCTGGGCTAATTAAGATACCCTTATGGATGAAGACTGCATATTTCCTCACTGGAATACAAACAACCATGGACAGGGTAGCAGCCACTAAGTAAATGGGTAAAATATTTTTTACATATTATCATATTATGTCAGAAGAGTAACAAGAGCAAGCCATTGGTAATAACAGAATATATCTGAAGTAAACCTTTAAATTACTAACAATTAGGATTCTGGTAAAATTATCTTAGGTTGGGATTAAAAAAAAACGTTGAGGCCCCATTAAAGCCTAACTTGAAGGAGAGGTAAGACTTTAAAGCACTCAAATTCATCTATGACATTCACAGAAATTAATGGAGGTATTTGTTTTTAGAGGGCTGGGACAAATGCTCCCTAAATGTGGCCAGTTTACTGAAATCTTCAGAAGAACTCAGGAAATTTTTGGATTTATCCTAGGAAATGTACCCATCTCTACTAAAAGAATAATTCTATAACTACAAAACAGCAGTAGACTAAAAGATTAATTCTATAACTACAAAACAGCAGTAGACAGATACATCACTCTCTAGCTCTGAAAGCCACGAGCAGAAAGGCAAAAAACTGTTAGCATTTAAAATCACAGCAGAAGATTTTCTCCTTACGAATGTTTGGATCAGAAGCTCCAGCGTAGTAAGGCACACAGGAAAACACCAGGAATAAGTGCAGAGAATATTTATTTACTGTACATATTTACATAGTGCTCACAGTAACATAAACATCGGCATTCAGCAGTCAAACGGACAGAACGTAAGCATGACAGTCAAAATAGAACTGTGAAGGGCACACTAACCAGCCTCTTAATTTACACTACCTCCAACCAATCATATTAGTGGTTCACCTCATGGTAGCTAATTCCACATGGATGTGTCCTTCTTGTCACATAAGCAGTGACTAAATAACTCCACCTGCACCAAACAATTATTAATTACATTTTTTCTTCTTAAAGACCTAACAAAAACTGTGTTTCCCCAAAAATAAAACATTAATTTTTGCTCCAAAAAGCACATTAGGGCTTATTTTCAGGGGATGTTTTATTTTTTTCATGTACAACAATCTACCTTGATTCAAATATAATCATGTCATCATCTTCTGGTTGCTGCACAATGGTGGAGGGTGGGGTTTCACTGAACTGGGGCTTACTTTTTGGGTAGGGCTTATATTATGAGCACCCTGAAAAATCATACTAGGACTTATTTTCAGGTTAGGTCATATTTTCAGGGAAACGGTACAACTTGAAATGGAAGCTTGACTCAAAAAACTAAAAATAAAAGATGGAGGAAGCACCACAATTATAAGTAAAACCTGTGTGTTTTCATATGTAATGCCACTATACAGCAATTTTCTTCTTAATACACTCTTGTGTTTTAACCTTTAAAATCAGCTCTAACCTTTTATTAAACAGAAAATGAAGGATGATTTAGGTAATCCTAAAGAGTTATAGTGAAAGTCAACATCAACACAAATTTATCATAGCCTGTCCCACAAAAGCATCTTGGCATTTTTAAATTGGTACATAAAATAGAGATAACTGACCTCAATTTTGTCTGTTTTGGCATCTCCCCAGTATATCTTGTTTTCTATGTAATCCAGTGCCAATCCATTTGGCCAACCAAGTGAGGTATTCACCAATACAACTCTGTCTGATCCATCTAATGCTGCCCTCTCAATCTTCGGAATCTCTCCCCAGTCAGTCCAATACATGTAACTGAGAAAAAAACAGGAAAGTTGCAATAAAAGTGTGTCATTACAAAGAATATGCTATTATTAAGTTGTATTGCTTTTGGGAGGCTTGGGGGAGGAGGAGCCAACCTATTGTTTCCAATATACACCATGCACAAACAAATACACATTTCTGACACACTGTAACAAATATTTGAAAATTTTCTCAGCTTTGACAAATATGAGTATGTCAACACATCAACAAAACAAAAAAATCCTGCTGCAACTTTTTATTCCCACAAAAGTGTGAAATGGTGAGGCATTTTTTTCATAATGGGATACAATTGCATAAAAAAGCACTTTAGTACATTTTTTGCAAAGTCACAAAAAAGCTAACAATAACAAAAAAAGCTGTGTGGTTTTTCTACCAAATTCAAAGCTAAGAATGGTTGATGCCTTTATCACAAATAAATTGCTTAAACTTACTTTCTATTTCCCAAATTTCTCCATTAGGCTAGGCACCCCAAAGCTGAGAGTGGTGCAGAATAAACATAACATGGAAAACATACCCATCTAAATAAACTGATTTCCATAACTTACTTTCTTTCTTGTTTTTTACTTGCACTGAAATTCATGCACATCTTCAACTGAAGTGCTATGCAATCTCCAATGAAATTCTAATTCAGCCATACCAAAGGAGGTCTAACAGTGAATGCCTTTAGTTAATCATTTATGTGCCAGGCTAATTTGATCAACACCTGTACTCAGTTCTCTTTTTCCCTTTTAAAAAAACCCAATAAAATACCAGAGCAAGGCTTCTTAGACATGCAGGGTTTTTTTAACCAGAAAAACCAATATTTAATGCTTACAGGTTGGGATTCGTATCTGCATGTATTTACTGTACTTTTGAAATAAAAATAAAATTCATACACATGTATCTCAATTAAGCCAGAAACCCTTGATCTGGATCTTAAGACATTATAATTATTATAATTACTAATTTAATAAAAATAGGTCATCTTACCCAAACATAGGATTCAAAACAATAGCTCTAGGTTCTTCAAGATCTTCTGAGATCAAGATCTTCCTCATGGTCCCATTAAGTCTTGTAACTTCAATGCGGTCTGTTCCAGTATCAGTCCAGTAAAGGTTTCGGGCAATCCAGTCTACAGCAATGCCATCAGGATGTGCAATTTGTGCCTGGACAACAAACTGGCTAGCTGACCCATCAATTAATGAGCGCCGGATGGCCCTCACCTCATCATCTGTCCAGTAGATGTACCCTTCTACAGGATCATAGTCAATAGCAATGGCATGTCGAATATCTTCTAGATGCAAAACAATATCAGTGAAATCTGGAGTGTCCAAGGATATTCGCCTCAAGTCAGTCCTTCGGGCTAACAGCAGCAATTCCACAGCACCTACATAGATTAAAAGATTGAACATAAATGTAATTTAAAGATATCCTATTTATTAGTTCTTACATCAGTATTGTGCTCTTCACTGAAGATGCTCAGGGCAGCATGTTGAGTGGTTTACTCTATTTTAGTCTCAGAACAATATAACAAAAAATCTTGTAAGATTAGCTGGACCATGAGAAGGTTATTATTGTCTGAAATCCTGTAGTGCAGCTCTACTTGCAAACAGGAATGACATAACTGGCAGAGGTAGACTGCCACCAATTAAAGTATATTCCTTTTGCAATTCTGGGGTGTGCATAGTTTGCACACAATGCAACAAAGTTATGTATCCTCCAAAATAGGAAAAAGAAGCCTTTAATCAGCGTCAATCTGCTGCCACTAATGACTTCATACCCAATGCACAGGATTTCAGCCATAATTTGGTACAACTTTGTAATTCTTTTTCTCAACAATAAGTTATATAGCAAAAAGGCTTGTTAGAACCAACTGCAGATTGCTCTTATTTTTCCAAGGAAGTGAGCAATCAAAGCAGTTTAAAGGTAATCCATTCATTTGGGGTCTTTACCAGGCATGAATGGTTAACAACAGTATGAAGCAATGCACTGATAATGCATACCTTAATGCATTGTTTAAAACATACATTGATGTATTATGTAAAGCAATATTCTTTCTCTAAAAACTAAAACCAGCTTTCAATGTGAAAAGCAATGATGTTGAGATGTATGTGTAAAGCTTTAGTTGTGGTTAGATCATGAAGTCCTAATATTTATTTTATTAAAATACTTATAGTTTGCATTCCTTTCTCACAGGGACCTCCAGGATGGCTCCAACAGCTGTTAAACACACAATAATAAACAGTATCTTAAATTTAACAAACAGGAGTGGAGAATCAAGGCACAAGATCAGTCCAAAGTAAACTGAAATAACTGACAGGTTCAAAAAAATATGAAAGAGTTTCTCCCACTGAGTGAGCTGCTATATGAATACAGCCATCTGAGGCAGTTCCACCTCCTACTAAAGTAGAACCTTAGGAGGTAGTGAATACTCCAACACTGGAGACATTCACAAGGAAGGTAAAAAACTATCTGTCAGATAGACTTTGATAGACTTTCCTGCATTGAGCAGGAGCTGGACTCAATGGCCTTATGTGCCCACTTCAACTTCATTAATAGAATGGAATCATTCATCCAACAGCAAACTCAAGTGTTAAATGTATTTTTGTTTTTGGTGTCTGCACCCAACAGGTTTACAGATGGACCACTTTATTTATTTAATAATAAAATATTTATTGAAAATATTTAAATAGGCAATATTCTCAGAGAATATAAAAATCAGAAACTGCTGTATTTTTAAAATGTGCCAGGTACAATATGGCACTTTTAGAGAATTCTGAATTTTTTGCATGGCCATTATGGTCTTGAGCAAGGATTCCTCTAAGGCTCATGGCTATGTGTGCGAACACAACTCCACCTCCCTCCGCACAGCATTTCTCCTCCGCACAGCCCCCTTGTTTTGGGTAGCAATGGAACCCCACTCAGGAGAAGGTAAGAGAGAGGCGGAGCCCTGCTCCGCAGGGCTGAAAAGAGGATATGTTGGTCTTGGGAGGTACCCTGTTTCCCTGAAAATGCCATTTGGTGTGATCTTTGTATCCAAATGGCATACAGACCTCAAGGTTTTAAGTGTATGTGTATTGGGTATGAACCATCATACACCTTCACATTCAGAGGAATTAAGGTGCTGTGACAATGAGGAACTGAAAGGAAGGTTGAGGAGGCGGAGCCTATACCCTAGGGGCAAATTGTTTATTTTTTCTAAGTTCTAGAATCTTCCGAACGTCCTGCGCAGGCGCAGGATAAACTTATTTGTGTGCATTGGTTCTAGAGAGAACACTACGAAGAACTTTCTTTTCTCCCTCTGTCCCTATCTTTTGCTGATAATATGCATTACATTTACATATTAATAAACTGGAATTGGCTCACATCCATAGCTGTTATTTTGAAAACAGAGATTAAGTCTAGTCAGTTTAATCAGACACAAAGTTTAAAACATAGAGAACTGAAACTACACTGTACAATTAATTACAGCTGTATGTTGAATATTTCTCTGAAGATTTCTGGAACAGCTACAACCTGAGCCTAAGGAAAAGAGGGATTGTTCACAAAGTACATTAAAATACCCAAGAAGGTTTAACCACTATAAACTGAGAAGACAAAAAAGTTAGTTGCTATGGAGACTACTCTCCTGGGGCAGCCAAGTTAATCTTTGGCTGCACAGATCGTCTGCCAAGGCACTATAAATGCTTTTAAAAAATCCACATCCTTACTTCCTAAACTCCTCTAACTGCTACAGCCTAAATACATCACTGAATAACAGATACCTATTATTAAACGAGCCAGCAGATTTTTCAATTGATTTTCTAAAAGTTATGCTTACTATATTCACTGCAAAAATTACTATTAAAGTCATATTTGACTGAGAATCTTCACTGTCTTTTCCAATGGATTTAGAAAAATGGATTTTGGCATGATAACACATTAAAGCCACCTTGGGTCATTTTTAAGGAGAAAGGTGGGGTAAAAGAATTTGAAATAAATAAAAATAAATAAATAAAGATTGATCAAATGAGGAGGAACCTTTCAGTTCAGCACAACACATTTTTTGTTCCTTGTTCAACTTCGTTGCTTTATATAGCTTTACTTTTTTGTCGCACAGTAAAAAATATAAAGTTACCTCACTTAACAATTTTGTCATTAAACAGCAGAAGAGAGACAATCTAAATCTAAATAACCATACTTTTGTTCCTCAGAACTGATGTGGGTAGTCTGCCATATATGCTGCTTAGCAATGTAAGAACTGCCGCTACTCAGTCTGGTCTACTTAGCAGCCTATTTCCAGTTGTGATCAGCCAAATGCTTTCAGGAATCTTACAAACAAGGTATGTGGACAATAGTCTATTACCTCAGAGCAGAGGTCGTCAACCCCCAATCCACAGCCCGGTGCCGGTCCATGGCCTGAGCCGGACTGCGAAGATAGACGTCCTGCCCCCCTGCACGCACTCCCCTCCCCACAGCTGCTTTGTGTGCGTGCCAGTGCTGGTGTGAGCACTCCCCCACCCCTTCGCACATGCGCCCAAGGCATCCACGCAGCAGCTCCTCCCTTTGAGCTCCCGAGGAGCACAGGGAGCAAGAAGAAGCAGTGTGAGACTTGGCGGGGGCTGAGCTGCAAGCTTGGTGCTGTCCCTGCAGGGAAGATGGTCGCTGGTGGGCCCGGCACGTCTCTGGTCCCCGCTGGCACCGCCAGCAGCAGCAGCAGGACAGGCACCCCCTGACCCGAGCCGACAACACGCACGCACCCTTCCCCGGACCCTCGCCCGCAGCGCTCCAGCACCCATTGAAGCCGGCACTTCAGAGACAGTGAACCAAGTCTGCCAAGGGGGAGGGAAAGCGGGACTTCGGACCCCTGCCTTGTCCCTGCTGGGAGGGATCCTCCCAGAACGGTGCAGAGACCCAAACCCGAGGCGCTTTCGCAGGAAGGGCTGCTTTGGGGGCCCCAGGGGGATCTCCATGCAGGAAGGCTTTGGGCAGCAAAATTGGAGGAGAGCGTCAAACTGGAAGCCGGCCAAAGCCTTTGCCCAGAGGCTCGAAGGCTGGGTGGGTCCGGAGGGAGTGCCACAGTTGCCAGTCAGTCAGACCTCCTCCTCCCCCGTGCCCTCCTCGCTACGTGGCTGGGGGACTGCAGGCAGCAGTGGGCAGCGACTAGCTTGCCAGTCAGTCACGGGAGGCCAAGGCTCCCAGATCCGTCCGTCGGTCCGTGGCTCCTGCCTCCTTTGCCACTGGGAGGCTGCCTGAGTCGCAAGCATCTCGCGCGTACCCGGATGGCCTGAGCAGGGACCGAGGCGGTGCACTGCAGGTGGATCGGCCCAGCTTGTGTCCGGGTGGACTGATCTGCAGATCGAGGCTAGGGTATACAAAGGGGAAGAGAGGGAGGGAAGAAAGGAAGGAAGGAAGGAGGAAAAGAGGAGTGCGCCCCACCCCCAGGTTCAGTTGGGACCGGCTAGCCTTCCTTCCATGCCTGTCGGGGCTCCTGTGGCTCTGTTGAGGGGCAGTCCCCAGTGCAGCGACAACCATACAAAGGCTGCTCATCTGCCCCACGAGGCAGCCTCCGAGTGGGCCCCACCGTGCCTGTCAGCAGGCAGGAGGCACCCTGTTGAAAACCCTCCCCCCGCGCTTGGTTCCAAGGCTGAGCACCCTCCCGACAGAAGAAAACCGAAGAGCAGCCAAGCAGCAGGAGGCATTCTGGGGTGGGGGTTCCGCAGAGCGCAAAATCCCACTTGTGCTACTGCTTCCCACACCCCCGCTGAAGTGTGGGGTGGTGGTTCTGGTTGCTGGTGCTGCTGTTGTTGGATGCCCTCAAGTTGTCCCCTCCACACACACAGGGTGACCCTGTGAATGCCCGCTTGTTTGTCTTTTTGGCAGTCCATACTACTACATAACAAATACCCCCATGCACAGATGCCCCCTCACGCCCCTCCCCCCAGTCCTTGTAAAAATGGTCTTCAACAAAACCAGTCCCTGGCATTAAAAAGGTCGGAAACCACGGCTTTAGAGCAAAAAATAGCTTCAAATTTCAGCCTCATGTGGCCCAACCAGGGTAGATAAAAATCAGTGTTTAATTTAAAGATCAATTTAAAATAATGTTTTACATAATGGTTTAAATTTAGATAACGATTTTTTAAAATTTAAAATTGTCAAAAATCTGATTTTTAAGAAAAAATGTGATTTTAAACTGATTTGATTTAAATCAAATCCAACTTGGGCCTAACAATTTAGAAAACAAGACCAAAGGGGAACTGGTACGGGGGAGGGCATAACTGACGTTTAGAAGCACTGGGCTAAATTCAGCATAACATGAGCAGAGAAATTCTGTTTGATTTTCCACTTGAGAAGCAACAATACATGGTGCAAGAAGGTTCAATGGATATTGTGCAAATTGTAGAATTT